AGGTTTGAAAATGTTTGGGAAATGTACTCTTATCAAGAGTAAATGTTGATCATTAGGTGTTGATGACTTAATTTCTGCCGCAGACAGAAATTTTTGTGTTTACAAAGTACAGGTAGTGCCCATGCAACTTTCACTGGGACACTTTGGGATGCAGGAGTTTTTGAGATTTTCTGTTGGCAAATAGTGGAGAATCAGGATAGAGGAAAATACGTGTTGGTAGCCCACAAGTTCACTGACCAATTTATTTCTTTTGAGACCTCAAAGTATACTCTTCTTCCCCAAACTTTGAAACTTGAAGTATCCATTTCTTCTTTAGACCATGAGCTCTGTGATCAGCAAGCTCTGTGTCCAAGAGTATCTTCACTAAAAGACAATACCCAAATAATCAATTAGCAATAAAATCAAACTAGTTTGACATTGCAGCTTCTAAATATCTTTGGAAAATAACTTTCAGAACTACAGTTGTGTAACTATGATTCTCTGGGAAAGTTCATCTGAGAAGGACCAAAATGCTTCTCAGGTCTTGCATAGAGCCTAGCATTCAGGTCCTGTATTCAGAGTTTCGAAAAGTGCTAGTATATGGGCAAAATTTCATAAAAGCCCTTGAAATAATTTAAAAACTGAATATACTTTATATTTGAAAATGTTAAGGCTTCTAAGTAACATTGACACTATCACAGCTGTTAATATCAAGTCCATTTAGTTGTTGCCTTGGAGCTCTTTACAATACAAACCAGCTTAGTTAATGAGTGCAGTTCTGTGTTATTAGTTACCCAAAATCAGCTGGAAAAGCTGCTGGCTTTTATTTCTGCAATGGAAATGAATATGCTCTATCTCCAGTGATGGGAACGAAGAATCATTCTGTCAATTCCCTTCCTGCCAGCTGATGCCAGGGTCAGAGAAGTAGGTCACACCTTTCTGGTTTTGAGATGGAGCAATACTTATTTTAGACCAATTTGCTCTGAGCACGGAGCTCATCTGCTGGGTTGAACCAGGGCATTGTTGCTTTCTCTAGTGCATTGTTCTGTTCTCCTGCTAATTACCTCCAAATGTTCCTTATGCCTGGAACACAGTAGTAGTGATGAATAATGGGCTCTCTTCTCTTAACCCTTCGACCTGTAATTTGGCTTTCCACTCCCACCTAGATGCTTTTACTTTCCTGCCTCCACCAGCACTGTCTTAGCCTGACACCTGCCTGTATCAGATTTGCTGCCCCATAACCTCCTCTCTTCTGTTCTGCAAATTGAGTAGGAGAGTGCAAGAGCATGGTCTTGGCTCCAGCATTTACTGTCAGGATTATGGTGTTTGCTTCACATGTGTCAGTGTGGATAAAGGGACATGTCACATGCCTGTGGCTCTGGCAATGGGAACAGCCACAGTCATTCCAGACCTTCTGTTTTGGAGATGACCTGTCCAGGAAAGCTGTTCAAATTGTTGATTTGTAGGACTTGTTGCAAGCTGATTCTAAGAGATGGGGTTTGATTGCTGATCACAAACAACAGTGCCCCTCAGATGGGGTTTCCTTATGACGGGTAGGCTGCAGCTCTTAGACAGATCACATGTGAGCAGATATATGGGAAATGAAGCCTGAAGAAAGTTGGGGGTGACATCTGTGAGTTCCTACAGGTGACTGAGGTTAGTGGGAAGAAGGAGAGGGGAGACTTGCTGCAGATGAGTCATGGAGGCAGTGCTTGGAGGAAATTGGACCTGGGCGTATTCCATTCTAGAAAATGATACAATGTCCAAACACATTCTCATTATATTCCTTTACACCTCAAATCATTTTGCTTCAATTTGGTGGGGTTTTTTTTCCAGTTTAGAAAGCTGAGCTGTGAGCCCAGCATGTGGAGCTATTGAAGGCAGGTGTAGCCCCTGGGCTAGCACTCCCATTTCAGCACAGAGGACAATTGTGCCCTGGCTGGTGCAGTGTGCCACATCTGTGCTGTCTCCCATTGTGCTCCCTCAGATCACTGGCAGCACCTTTCAGCCTTGACAAAACGCTCAGAATCATCTGCAAGCCTTTCCTCCACAGAAGAGCATGAACACTGAGTGCTGTGAGCTTCTGCTCTCTGCCTGCCTTGGTCCTGCACCATCCCATGCAATTTCCACAGAGAAATGCCTCAGAGTAATTGCAAAGGCCAATGCACTGTCATCACATTTGGCTTGTTTAATAACTGTCCAGTCTCGTAAAGCACTGGCATTTGGTTAGGTTGGAAGCAGATCACAGTTGGAATAGCACTGCTCCATGTCTCTGGTGAGAAAGGCTGAGCTTTTGTTTATGTTGGTGTTGTCTGCCCTGCAGCTCACAAGGGCTGGGCTGAGGCTAGTGATGCTTTTGGAAGCCTCTCTGGAGGCTTCAAAACGCTAAAACTGGCCCATACCTCTTCTCCATCACTCTTACATATCAGTTCTTGTCCAAGTCTCTTCTCAGCTGGTACCACAGCCCAGGAAACAGTACTCCAGCTCAGGTACAGAATGGCCTGAGTGTTAATCCTGGACAGTTTGGTGTAGAGAAGAGTTTCTTAGGCTCATGGCTTTTTCTTTGTAGAGGCAAGTAATGTCTGGGTAAGAGAAGCTGCAGTCCTTGGAACTGCTGTCACTGTTGTGTCCACACAGCCTATGAAATGAGTTTGCCAAGATAGAAATCGGTCCCTACAGCTGAAAGACAATTCTTTGTGACAAGAACCTTGATATTTGTAGACTGTAATTACACAAAGAGACCATGCTGCTAATCTAATCTCACCTTCAGACGAGACCTGTACCTGTAATGTCTGCATCAAGGCTAATAATTTACTGCTAAGCTACAGCACATGTTCTAGGATGACAGCAAATCTTGTTTTAAGAGCTCTAAGGGTGGAGAATAAAACTCTCCCCTACATCATTTGTTCAAGTGATTAACTACTGGCATTATTGCAAGTTTTAATTTTTAAATACTGGTATTATTTCCAGTTTGATTTTTTCCAGCTTTTACTTTGAGCTTCTGGATCTGGTTATGGTTTTGTTTATTAGATTTTTGAAGTACTTTAGCATCTCTCACAGTCCCCTGCTGAGAAATGTTAATAGAGTTAGATCAAATCACCTCCAAACCTTCCCTTTGGTAAACCAAACAGGGATATGGAAAGACTTTAGCAGTCTGATCTTTCTCGCTCGCTGCAACATCTGGAATTGAACGATGTGCGAGGTTGAATCAATCATCTGTTCAGAGCGGCATCTGACCACCTATTTGATGATGCTTAAATACATTCCGCGCAAAGTCCTTCTTTTACTTGTGGCTGTTTTCTAGACCTAAGCCATCTGTGAATATTTTCCGGTGCCGGATCTCGGGGCCGAGGGCAGGCGGTACCGGGCTGGGCTGGGCTGAGCTGCGGGACCGGGGAGCCCCGGGCAGCCCCGCTCCTACCTCGGGGAACGCGGCTTGACCATTTCTTACCAGTCGATCGCAATCGAGTCCTTGCTCCCGCTTTTCTGTCGCTGATTTTCTATTGCCCTCTAGTGGAAATGGGATGGCCGCTGGCTTGGCTCCCCAAGCGCTGTTTTCTCCCGTGCCCTGCTGCTCTGGGGCTGACTTCTGGGTTACATGATGCTGCAGTACTGTTTACATGGATTTTAACATACAGCCTCGTTATTCAGTTTTATTCTGTGCAGGAAACAAATACCTGGTCTCTACAGTTGATAACTAATGTGGTGCTATGTCTGGGAGTAGAACAGACTTCCCTGCTCATCAATGTGCTTTACAAGGGAAACTGCAGAAGATGTTCCCGTTTCAGGCTTAGAATAATTGAGTCGTGCAGAGTCAGAATTCTGTAGTGAACTTTGTGTATGCTGCCAGCACCCCTAGCCTGGTACAAGGAGTGATCTTCTCTGGAAACAGAAATACTGCCTTTTTACTATTTGTATTTCTGAAGTCTTTGCTTTTATTATAAAGAGTGAACTATTTAAAGCACACTCTCTCCAATCAATCATTTCACTTTGTCAGACAAGCCAAATCATTTATTGAATGATCTTGGCTAATCAAAGTCTGTCTTCTAACAGAGATCCTAGAAGATGGTTTATTAATGAGACCTAGATTTTTTTTTCCCTGGTTGTAATGCAGGGAGATCTTAATAAGCAATGAATTGCTGTGTCTGCAATCACTTTTGAGAGGCTTTAAAGGAAAACAATAATACTATGACTAATATGATTGCTCTTCCCTACACTGCCATCCGGCGGATGCAAAATTCATTTCCTTTTGTAAATGCAAAGGGAAATTCTCCTACTGATATCACAGCTTGCAAACTTGGACCAAGCTGATTCTCACTTGTAATGCAATTTCCAGACCAGTGAGGAAAATACTGGTTATTCTTTAATTTTAGTTGTTTCATATTAGAAAAAGATGATTTCCAGTCTCTCATCTACAAAAAACATCCTCTGTCATGTAATGGAAACCTGTCTAAATCTTGAAAAGGGGCTCTGAAAGCTTCCCAGATTCTCTGCTCTCAGCATCTGGCATGGAGAGCCCAAGCCACTGAGCACTGCTACTGGGGCTGGTTTTGGAAAAAAGGCTGAGCTCTGATGTTGATTTTCAGATAATCAGTATGTGAGCTATGAACAACAGAGCCTAGGGTCAGATGCAGCACTGCATTTTTGGTTTGGGGTGGAGAGGTTTGAGGACAAGGGTTAACTCTACTTTTTCCCTTTGGGATTGAAGACTGAAATAAATAAAAGGTATCTGTGGTGCTCACAGCCTCCTACCGGCTGGTCTGCAGGTGGGACCTCACAATGGGATGTTTCCCAGTGCAGCAAAACTCACTGACCACCACTGACGGTGTTGGACACTTCATTGTTCCAGAGGAATCTGGAGAAGTGAGTACTGGGAATGGATGGAGGCAGTGAGGGACTGAGTCCTTCAGCTGAGCCCACAGCTGTTGGGGCTCTCTCATTGCTGCATCTCTCTCTGATTCTGGATCCTACATAAATCAATGCAACAGCTGCAGCAATAAGATTTCCTGTGTTCTCTGCAGGAAGGCTATGGAAGTGGAGCTGAACAGGACCACTGCAGGTGAGCCAGGAAAGCACCAGGAAGTGGCATCCATCCCCTGGAGACACCATGGCCCATGCTAGTCATGGTACCAGTCCTTACATGGGAGCCCATCAGCTCTCCAAAGGAATTCTGCAGTGTGTGGGGTATGTGGGGCCAGGAAGGTCCCAGTCTGGAGGTGGGAAGTCCTGCTGCCTCACAGTGCTGCCAGCATGTTCCAGTCCCGAGTCACTCCCTTGCCTGTTTGCTTTGGTAATTATTTATGTACCATCGAGGTGTCAGCCCAGTGAACTCCTTCGGTGGCCCAGTGGCTGCTGCCAGCCCTGTCAAAGTCCTGCAGTGCTGGGAGCGTTTCACCCAGAGGCCAGGGAGAGAGAATCGTGTTCCTGTGAGAGTAACACCACCACGAGCTCCCATCCAGCAGCGTGCTTGGCTCTAGGGAATGAGAGCACAGGGTAAACTGCTTTCACCCTTGCCACAGAGCCCCCGGCTCCCAGATCTGCTCCCTGAACCAGCTGGGGGGGGGTAGAAAGAGGTTAAGAAGCATATCCTTTGCTGTAATTATATCCTGTTTCTAGAGATATTGTGCTCTGCTTAAAGAAATCATCATAATGCAGCCTCCCAGAGAAGGTAATTACTGTGCATCTTATGAACGGCTGCATGTGAATGTCTGCTCAAGCTGCTGTCAGCAGCAAGTTTCAACACATCTTACATACCAGGCATTTTACAGCCCTAGTTTTATTTGTTTTCATCACCCCTTGCCTTGTGCTTTAGTTTTCATTAATGGATCTAGGGGTTTTTTTTGTTTGTATTGGTTTTCTTTATTTTTCTCCCTTTTTTTCTTTTTTTTTTTTTTCAGAGGCCAGAGTTCATGTCTTTGATGGAACATTTGGGTGGTGGCCACAGCTCTTATTTGCTGCATTTCCATTGCTCTGTGGTGGCTTGAGAGGGACCATCTGGAAGACGTTGTTTCTGAGCCATTCCCATAGGGTAGGATCTGATTGGGCCCTGGTTTCCTACTCTGATCCCAGATAAAATGGACTATACTACTGCTGACAAAACTTGATATCACTCTACCTCTAGTGTAATTGCACAGATTTAAGGCCACAAGACAGCCTATTTTTCCTGTTGTACTTTCTGAGCTTCTTTGTCTCATGTTGAAAAAGGGTTGGTGAGGGATGTCAGACCTTTGAGCTTTCCAAAACCAATCACCTGTCTGCCTTGGTTGGCAGCCAGTGCACATGTCACTGGTGGCTAAAGTTTTTGAGGCTCACAGGCTGATTGTTCTGTGCATGGACATTGCCATGTCTTCAGTCCCTCATCCTTTTGACTTTGCAGGGACATTTGAGCTAAAGACATGGGGCAACACCAAAGATCCCTGGTTCATCACAGTAGGAGTGACCCAGCTACTTTTTCTTTCTCAAAGGTCACTTGTGCTTGCCTTTCCCCAGCACTGTGTAATGTGTCTTAGTGTTGTGCAGGTAGGGCCACTGTGTGTGACCATGACATCCTGCATTGCTGTACAAACGTCCTGTCCATCTCACGGACAGCTCAAGGGAGGATTTGAAACTACTCCTTAAATTTTCTCTCTGTGAAAATGGCTTACTCTTGCAATGCCGAAGCTGAATTATCTTAGTACTCTTGCTGATTTATTGTATTTGTGGCCAGTGGTCTGTGCAAGCTGAGCATCTGCTATTTTGCATCCCAAGGTGGTTCCATCCTGGTGCTGTGTCCATCCCTCTCTGTGATTCTTGGTGGAGCCTGAAAGGCAGCCTGGTTGCTGGAGGATGGAAGGTGCTATAATAAATGTGAGCTCATAATGTTGTTGTTAAAAATAAATGGAGCTAAATTATAAAGAAAAAAATCAATCTTATTCAGTTCTAGCCCAAGGGGGAAATGGACATGAGGGATTGGGCAATCCTTCTGTAAGTTCTTTCTTTAGACTATATTTAAACCACACTGAGAGCCAGATTCTCAGCTGGTGTCAATTGTTATTGACTTCAGTGGAGTGAAGCTGGTTTACACAAGTTGAGGCTGCTAAATGCCAGTATTTGGATGAAGCTGAGGCAGCTGGAATTACTTTTGCAGAAAACTCTAGTCTGATGCTGATTCAAAAGGTCTGAGCCCTCCTGAGTGCTTGAGCCATCGTGCTCTGATTTAGCAGCTCTTTTGGGATGTGAAGGGCTATTAAAAGACCTTTACTTGGGTAAAAAATTTCTCTAATTTTAGCTAGGTTCTGCAGCTCTGATATCTGTCATTATTCTGTAGTCACTGCTTTAGATGGACTTTTCTGAAAAACTCTGCAAAACCTTTTCTACTTGCTACTTCACTGGCATCATCTCCTGTCTAGACACTCTAATTATGAGAATCAGGGAGCATGCAGTGTGATGTGTAGATAAACCTGGATAACTCCAAGGCAACCGAGTGCTGCTTCCATCCCTTCCCGACTGCTCTCCAAACTAGTTTTGCCCATTTGTTGTTTGCTCCAGTATGAGCATTAGCAAAGTGGGGACTGTACAGTGCCACCTGGGCAATATTCATTTGACTTTTGCATTCAGAAGGAAATGTTCCAAGCCATAGAAATGGAGAGGCAAACCTCAAATTGCAGTGGGATCTAGCAAGAGTGGGTTAGCCTTCCCTAGTTCTGTTTTTCAGTATGCCTAAAAACTCTCTGGATTAAATAAACAACCTCCCCCACCACCACTGTCAGCAGAATGCATTAAATCTGTAAGCTGATTTGAGTAATTTTTGTGTACTCATATCCACTCTAATTCCCTTCTTATCCATGGACTTGTTTTTTATTTATGCCAGCACAGACTGTATTTGGATACTCAACTTCTATCTATTTCAGCAATTTTTCTAATAAAAGCTTTAAAAGCCACTGATTTAAAAGGAGACCATCAAATAATCAATACTATATAGAATATTGGAATGCATTTCTTTGTTTCAGTTGCTGTCCACAGTATGTCACCTCCAGAAGTGCATAATGAGAAGAAAAAGCCACTTATTTTCTATTGCCTCTCTTAATTATGTCATCTTTCCTTATTCCTTACTGTAACTGGTACCAGAGAGAATTGTCTGTAATACTTAGCAAGGCCCCTGGGATTCAGGCTCTTTCTCAAGTCTCTGTGCTTGGAGTGCCACACGGGTTTCTATGGGTCTGCAGGAGCTGGGGCATGTGAGAATAATCTGTTGCATTTTGACTCCAAATCAATGTGCTTTGAAGTGATTATAGGGAGGGATTTCTCATTTGCTTTTTGTTTTCTTGGTAGCAGCCTTTGAAAATCACTGTACTGGTCCATGGGAGAAGTGCCACCATGCAGCTCCTTGGCTCCAAGGGAGGCACTTTTTGCACTCCTGGAAGTGACATGGGGGAGTGAATGCTCGGGGATGTGCATTTAGGGTCCAGCTCTTTAAAGTCTGGATCAAAAAACATATTTTAATGAGTCCTGGTAATAGAAACATGCCAAGAGCATGGATGACTTTAAAAAAATTTATAATAGAGCAGATTAATGGGTGACTTGGATGACTCTCCAGATTTGGGCTCTGACAGGAGCTGTTGAGTTCGAGCTGCACAGTGCTGCCTCTTTGGGAAAATTGAACACATTTAAGTAGATTTTCCCTACTGATGGACATATCTATCTGGATGCTCTTCTTTTGGGGTAAGCTTGAGGTTTCATCTGAATTCACCTAGGACACATAAGAGTGTCTCTATAAAGAACTGAATTTGGTGGCTGATGTATTGAAAGAGTGAATCTCCAATCCTGAGCCCCTAAAGTCATACTCCAGGTAAGATTTCTAGACCAGTCTATGTGGGGATGTCCTCAGCCTGCATTTAGCCAAATCTGAGACTCCAGATGGAGCTGTGGCTCTAGGACTTTTCCCAAAGGAGACTTGGGAAATATCAGAGTCAAGGCCAGGCCAGCTGCAGTCCTGGATGGAAGTGGGAGCTCATCTTTCTTCAGCTCCCCACCCTTTTCCACTCTCAGGCTGGTGATGTGTTTTGTGTTGGGTTGTTAGACACTTGTTAATATCCCAGAATTCGGTGCACGCACATGAACCCAAGGAAAAAGAAATCTCCATGTGAGGGAAGCACACTTCATTCCCTTCTTTTCTTCCCCCCCCATCACTGTATCATCATGTTGCTGTGGATGGGTACACAGACATGGTGCTGCAGTGGCTTCCTGCACGGGATGCAGCTCTCAACCAGCCCATAACCAATTCTCCCATGCACCAGGGTGACACAGCCACATCATCCCTTCTCCCTCTGATTTTTGGAATGGATCACCTTTGATGCACCTTTTGCATTGCACTGCTACTAAACCTGCAGCAAAAGCAGCAAGCTGGTTGGCATTAATCTGTATGAGACCTGTAGGAAGAGTAGGTTTGTACTTCCTACACTGCTTTGAAGGTAAGGCCAGGCTGGGCATGCACTGAATGTCCCACTATGGTTATTTTACTCCTTTCCTTGATGGGGGATGTTTCCACAGAACGTACTATGGCAGGCTTTGAACCAATTTGTTGTTCCTTTGTTTATGATGAAATTAGTTCACTTGTTTTATGTAAACTCTCCATGAGATTGTTTACTTTGGCACAGGAATCCCTGTGCTTTCAGAGATGCAAGGAATTTAGCTACCGGGAGTTTGTTTAGTTCAGTTTGTTGCATTTGCAAAACAGATGGTGGAGGGGAAAATGTATGTGTGGGGAGGCTTTAGGACAGGATTTGGTTAATGTTTGCTGCCTTTGTAGTTTCTTTGTTGTTTTCTGGCTGAAGCAGGATGGGTTTCCATCACACAGAGAAGAAAGACAACATATAAGAACTGATATGCATTTTGCACACAGGGAAAAATAAATAATTTGGATTTGAGCTATCATTTTTGTGGGCATCTCTGCCAAGGTGGAACTTCCAGTTTCTAGGGCTGGTGGAGGTACAGAAGCACCATGGGGGCATTCTACATTGGCTTGACTCTGTTCTCTGGAGCCCCCTGGGCCTCAGCAGACCTCTGAGGCATCTGTGATAGAATTGCTGTGCTCCTGCAGAGCAAAAGGTGGGAAATCTTCATGAGAACGTGTGCCCCAGAGCTGGCTGGGGTGGGATGAGGCCATCCCCATGACACTGGGCTATCCTTTCAGTTAATGCCCTTGGGTACAGATCTCTGCTGATGTAAGAAAGGGCAGTTGTCCTTAGTGGAAAACTGAAGCAGAGAGTAGAGAGGAAGCAGGACCTATTCAAAGTCCCACGGAGAGTGCCTGAAGGAGAATGAGGGTGGATCCCAGCTCTTCTCAGCCAACTATTTGAGCCTTGTGTCAGGCGGATCATTTTGAAACAAGCCAGAGTTTCTCTGTTCCAAGGGCCAAATTAGTGCCAAGTTGCAAGGGATGCCTGTAAGGCTCTGCCGTGTCCATTTGTGGGGGGTTGTAGGGCATTGGGAAAAGTGTCACTTTCCACTATACTTCCTAACTGAAAGGTTGTCTGTTCTCATAGGCTCTGCCACTCTGCTTTATATATTTGGGAGACTTGGCCAAAATCCTCTCAAACCTTCATGTCCTGTCTTTGGGTTTGTTATATGTGGCAATCAACTCCCTCTTTGCAAGATCCTCACAGGAAGGATCTTGGAGCAATCAGCCCTAATCAAACTTGGCGCTTGCTCAGGGCAGATCATATTCCCTGCATTCCTCCGTGGATATGGCAGGCAAAGAATCTGTCACCGTGTCTGATGACCTTGCCTGCAGTGCAAAGTGCCAAGAATGCCCCATGTTTTCTCAGGGTGGGGTGCTGTCCACCACCAATGGCCAGCAAAGCGTGATGGTGGGGTGAGCTGGGGCATTTGCTGGTGGGCTTGGTGGGGGAGGAGCCCACATGCCACCACCTGGTTATTTTGGGCAATGGACTTGAGCTGCTGAGCTGGATCTTTCACAGCTTCATTCAATCTTCTGCACCTACAGAAACATTTCTCAGACATTAATGCTTTTCCCATCTAGGTGTCATGTTTCTGAGAGACCTCCATGCTTCCCAGTATGAGCCCAGTGCATATGCTTTTACCCTTCTTCAAATCTCAGAGCTGAAGGGCAGTGATTAAAGGTGCTTGAGCATTTTGCAAGCTTCCACTGACAGGAGGATGGCTGTCTTGCAGGTCAAGGAGTTTCCTGTCTGCTTATTGACCTCTTTTTTACCAAGGCTAGATGGATATCAGTTACATTTGGGTAGAGGCTGCTGAGGCAAGTGGGGATTTTATTAGCAACCATTTAACCCTTGTCCCTTTTAGATTTTTATGAACTTAAGAAGTCTTACATCCCTCCAATTTCCATATGAAGAAGTTGGGGCATAATGAGTTGCAGTGGTTTGTCCTAAACAAGTCTAACTAGAAAAGTGCTTAAAATTCAAATTTCTTCTTACTCAGTCAGATTCTTGATAAGAATGTCCTTCTCTTTCTGGTATAGAGCCTGCTCGCATCTGTATGAAGAAAGAGGAGATCTTTCCTAAATGGGAATTTCCAGGAGCATGCAGTCTTGCTTTTCTTAGTGTGCCCAAAATGAACAAAGAGATGGTTGGAGCAAGAACAAACCATTGTCATGGAGAATTACAAAAGTCAACGTTTTCCTTGAGCAAGATGACTTCTGCCATGTGTGCTGTAGCATCTCAGTGCCTTGCAGGGTGTGCCTGCAAGGTGAAATGCAGCCTCCAGGCATCACCTCGGAGCAGTGCTCTCCAGGATAGGCTGGATTTTGCCTGGCTTTGTGTCTAAGTGTGGTTGCCAACACCTGCACAAAGCAAAGGCAGAGCAGACCTGAAGAGCAGCATTGAGTAC